AAGTATTTGATGTGTACAAGGTGACTATACATTCAAAGTTATTTGATGTGTATAAGGTGACTCAGACTTCAAAGTTACGTTGTTGTGTGTAAGGTGACTATACACTTCAAAGTTCATTGTTGTGTAGTAAGGTGACTGTACACTTCAAAGTTCGTTGTTGTGTAGTAAGGTGACTATACACTTCAAAATTTGTTGTTGTGTAGTAAGGTGACTGTACACTTCAAAATTCGTTATTGTGTAGTAAGGTGACTGTACACTTCAAAGTTCGTTGTTGTGTAGTAAGGTGACTATACACTTCAAAGTTATTTGATGTGTAGTAAGGTGACTGTACACTTCAAAGTTCGTTGTTGTGTAGTAAGGTGACTATACACTTCAAAGTTTCGTTGTTGTGTAGTAAGGTGACTATACACTTCAAAGTTCTTTGTTGTGTACTAGGGTGACTATACACTTCAAAGTTCGTTGTTGTGTAGTAAGGTGACTATACACTTCAAAGTTTCGTTGTTGTGTAGTAAGGTGACTATACACTTCAAAGTTATTTGATGTGTAGTAAGGTGACTATACACTTCAAAGTTATTTGATGTGTAGTAAGATGACTGTACACTTCAAAGTTCGTTGTTGTGTAGTAAGGTGGCTATACACTTCAAAGTTTCGTTGTTGTGTAGTAAGGTGACTATACACTTCAAAGTTCTTTGTTGTGTAGTAAAGTGACTATACACTTCAAAGTTCGTTATTGTGTAGTAAGGTGACTATACGCTTCAATGTTCTTTGTTGTGTAGTAAGGTGACAATACACTTCAAAGTTCTTTGTTGTGTAGTAAGGTGACTATACACTTCAAAGTTCGTTATTGTGTAGTAAGTTGACTATACACTTCAAAGTTCGTTGTTGTGTAGTAAGGTGACTATACACTTCAAAGTTCTTTGTTGTGTAGTAAGGTGACTATACACTTCAAAGTTTCGTTGTTGTGTAGTAAGGTGACTATACACTTCAAAGTTCTTTGTTGTGTAGTAAGGTGACTATACACTTCTGAAGTATATTTTATAATAAAAATAATGGATTTTCTGAGTAAAATGGGTAGATTATCATTCCCAATTTCAAAATTTTTTTTTTTGGTTAATTTAATATTTTAAATTGCCACAAAATATATAAAACAATACACAATTGTGTAACTTGCACAAACTCACAGAACATTTTTTGACTTAATTTCCATTTTTTTTAGCCAATCCTCTGATTTTTATCATTTGAGTTGCTTCCTTCATAAGGCCTAAATTAAATATCTACATCATTAAATCTTTTTTTTTACATTCCAACATAGAAAACATCTCACTTTTGCTGCTCGAGTTAATCTGTCACCAGATTCACCTACACAGATATTAAGACATAACTTTCTAATTCGAACCTCCCTCATAGGGTTTTCTTGTTTCTCCTTTCTTTCTCCTTTATTCTAGGGGGAAGAAAAATAGCTGTAATATACACACACACACACACACAAGTTATATAAATACTTACATAAGCATAAATATTTGTGTTTGCACACACTCATGGAATATAACAGTTAATTTTCCATTTCTGAATGTGATTTGAATAAAATCACAATGAGTTACATAGCTTTAAGTAACAAATATTCACAAACTGGTACTTCATGCATACCTAATTGATTTTTGAGAAGATATCTATAACATGTGGGAAGCAAACCAATTAAAAGAATGAGTCTGAGCTGCAAGATTATTTTCAGCAGACAAATGAGGTAATAATGATAACACAAGTAATCATAATATATGATGAAAAATAAGTTAATATATAAATATTTAAAAATCGCTTATACAGTATAACAAAGAGTCAGCATTCTGAGCTGTTGTCCAACTATTTAAAATCAAGCCTCCATAACTATTGCAGCTCATATTAGAAGTGCTGAATGTCCATTTTCATAATTTAATCTAATAGCTTAATCTTGAAATGAATTATACTGGTTACTGTTGCCTATATTTTGATAGGTAGATAAAGGTGGTTTTATTTTATTTTCTACAATTTTGTTGAACACTAGTGCATGTTCTTATCTGATGCTTTTCTACAGGGTTTATTCATTCATTTAATTGCATAAAATTTCCATTAAATGGAGTTTGGGTGCGTTTTATAACAAAGCTATATTGGGCTATCTGTTGTATCCACCAAGGGTAATCAAACCCCTGATTTTAGCATTGTAAATCCATAGATTTACTGCTGTCCCACCAGGGGACTACTAGATGGAGATGGTCTAATTATAGTATTTAAATAAAGTATATGAAGTGGTTCAACTGAATTTTGAATTTTAGACATAACTCCAATTATACATTTTTCATTTACTTGTTTGTTTCATTAATAGTTAGGCTCATTTTGTGCATCTTTAAGAAAATGTAAAAATTTGATTTGTTATCAGTTTATTTTTTGTAAAGTTTTCATAAACTTTCAAATGATTCCATCACAATTTCGATCTTGGAAAAGCATTAGCAGTAATACTTCAGGTAAGCACTCTTAGATAAGAACTGTTATGTGTTAATAACAATGAACACCATGGAAACATAAGTAATAAGCAGATAATTTAATTAAGTAATCTGAAAGTTCCAAGCTCAATATATCTGTTTCAGAAAGATTTATTAATGCTGAATGACGTACACACCATACTCACCAATGTTGTTAACACAACCAGAGTCACAAATTTACATCCAATCAACCAAACATCTGATGAAAAAAGGAAAAGGATTGTTAGGCATCCAGCCTAAATCACTTGGTTAAATAGAAGAACATGCAACTTACCTCATTAAAGACTAAAAATAAAGATTAACTTTGTAGTAAAAGGTGATAAAGAGTTTAATAAACATGCTTATGAGCTTTATTACCAATTTGTCCCATACATTTTTATACAATACAATAGTGAAGCAGGGGCATTTATTCCTTAGCCACAATGAAATCGGATGAAGAACAATGGTAGAAAATACATAAGAACATGCCAAGCAGTGCTGGCAAAACTTGCAGTCCCCCCATCACTATCTGTCAAAACATTATAAAAAAGTCAATTACCAGTAATATACATTTGTCAGTCGCAATGCCCCATGACATGGAACAGGTTAGCAACAAAATAAAAGCTACTAGCCAAATTAATTGTAAGTCATGATTAGTTATATATGCAATTTATCAAATTACATCACACACAGGAGATTTCACATGGGCTTACGTGTTTATGCCTGATTTGGTTGTCACAGCAGGTTTTCCACAAACGACAACAGCCAATTCTTGAAGTTCCCCTAAAACATTCATATGACAGTACACTTAAAATAAACTTTTATATATCTGCTCTCATCTTTTGCTACATTACACTCAAAGAAGATCCTGTTTTGCCAGTTAGTTTCATGATGCATCTAAGGTTTGCTTGTTTTAGTGTAAAGCTACATTGGGCTATCTGCTGTGTCCACCTCAGGGAATCAAATCCAGTTTTCAGCATTGTAAGTCCATAAACTTACTGCTGACCAATGCATCTATGGAAAAAAAAATTACTTGGCAGTTCTTCAGAATAATATGCCTGTTGATGCCAGAATTAACAAGAGAATGCATTGTAATTTGCACTGACTATGAAGCAAGTATAGAGAATGCCTTTAACAATACTATATCAGGACTAGTTATTGTGAACCACTGGATTCAGATTCTAAATGGTGAGACATTTTGTGTCTCAAATTATGCAGATAAAGCAGTGACATGATTGTATATCACAATCACATTCTAAGGATTCTGAATAGTCAGACATTAGATGAGGAAAAAATGTAGTTAAAGCACTGATCTGCAAAATTAAGCAAGGCCTTCTTAGAATAATATCTGCATTTCCTTGAGCACACCATTCTGAAAATGGGTGCCTGGTACCTTTAGGAAACACTAGTGAGGTAATTACAAATACCTCAGGAAGCTTCAATGTTGTTCTGAAATGCCTATCCATTTGGAAGGAAATTAGAGAAGATGCCATGGTCATCTTACTCTTCTATTTACAAAACTTCTACTTTTGTGAAATTATTCATGGAGAACGAAACATCAGAAATTATCATCTTACTGAAATGTGATCTGCATTCAGATGTACATTATATATTGAATTATGCAATCCATGCATACTCCTAGAGACCAGATTGTAAATGGTCGGACAAAAACTTTGAAGCATTTACATCTTTGTCAAATGACAACATTCTATAACACATGGGGCATGGCATAAATGCACTGGGCACAACGCATTTATTATAGCAGACACGTACGAGACACGGTACATAATGCTATGCTCAAGGTACACCATTAGTTAGTAACACAGCACGAGGCACAGCGTGAAGACAATTTATGAATCGATGCATGAAATATGGCACACAATACATCACATGGCACCTATTGTGAAAAAAGCACCATGGGGACAATAGTTTGAGTGTCAATTTGGAGTTCCATGAGTTGTTCTGCCTGCAGGACAAAAGTACAAAATCATAAAATGGAAAATTCAGTACTGTTAATATGAGCTGAAATTGTTTTGGGACTTGATTATAAATAGGAGGGGCAAAAACCTCGGAATGCTGACACCTATTGTGGGAAAGTAAAATGGATACCTGGGGTACAGTAGTTTGAGTGCCAATTACAGGTTCCAGAAATTTGTTCGTCGGGATAAAACTACTGAATTATAAAAGATGATAATCAGTACTACTAATATGAGCTGAAATTATTTTGGGGACTTGATTTGAAATTGTGGGGCAAAAGCCTCAGAAAGCTACCACTTATCATGAAAAGGCAAAAAGAGATGTGGGGTACAGCAACTTCAGTGCCATTTCCAAGTTCTAGGAACTTTTCCCCAAGATGAAAAACCTGAACAAATGTGTCCAAGATAAGTACAATTGTTTTGGTGATGGTTTTTACATGGTATGTGCCTTGAAACACAACTGTATTGTGAATAATTACTCATTTATTTAGCCAACTTTGGGTAATTTACATGGTCTTCCATTACATTCAACAAAAGTGTTTAATTATAGCTGTATTTATAGATTATATTTCAGTATACCACTACGTTTAAGATAACAAACATTCATTAACGCGTTCTACTGTTCCGGATTTTAACAACTCCCTAACACCGGCTTTCATATATATAAACATTCTTTGTGTTTTTAGAGGAACTACATATATAATTTGATTCATGTTTATTACACTTTTAAAATATATGAATAAGTCCATGTTTACTTCATTTCTTAAATAAATAAGTAAAATGTATACACTATACAAGTATACATGTAATATAAATTTATGTATATGTGTTTCAAACATGTCCACAACAAGTCGAAACTCGTCCTTAGTCGACGGTTCACTCTCGACGTCAGTTACTATAGTATAGACGTTTACTGTATTATGTATAGTATTACTATGCACTGCACAGTGACAGCACCACGTTCAAACTTAAATTTATTACTAAGAAATACACAAAATATTGTTATTTTCCCAAGCTTAATTGCGTAAACTAAATAACAAAGTTCAATTTCCAAAAAAATTCTTGATTACCCACTTGAACTGTAATTATTAATATATTGTTAAAATGACAAATATTATCTTACGTAACTTAGTTAATTTAGTAAACCGAAGAATCGTGTATAGGAATTAGATTTAGAGCAATGGACTTAATAATTAGAAATCTGAGTACGCTAGCCAGTGACATATTTAAATGAACAAAACAAAATAATGACACTATGATTTACTTAAAATGAAGCGCAGATTATTTGAACAGTTTCCACATACCAACTTTATGCCTTACCTTCGCCATAATCCTGCCAAAAAGAAAAACGAAACAGAAATTATCTCAACCTACTCTCGAACTCTTAGAGTGTGGTTGATTTAACCAACAGGTAGCGCACATAGCCAGAATGCGTTGCCTAGTTACTGATGTACAGCATACAATAAACACGAAAGAGCTTAACTGTCAGTTTTATGTTTGAGATACAAGTTCAACTCCCCACCCTCCCTTTTTTTTTACGATCTTGAAAATATTAGTTTTAAGTTTTATACCTTCTTCCTGTGTTTATTTCATGAAAGTTCAGCGGTTTTTGCCCCTTTTTTACACACACGTCACTGATTTATAATTTAAATTTTAATATACATATGTGGACACGATACATACTACTATTAGTAAAACTAACAGTAGTATTACTATTACAGTATTAGCAAACATGTTGACTAATAGTGATAACCTGGATAAGCCTAATATTTTTTTTTCTATTGAAAGTAAGCTTCAAGAACAACGAATTCTTGCACGAAGACATCAGATTACAAAAAAGATGGATTCCCGTAATGTTCAAAGGTTAGGAATATTTCACCAAAATTATAACTTATAAGCTAGAGATTAAAGTTAAGACTATAAGTGAAAGTCATTTCCATTGTCATACAAATTATCATTTCCAAATTGGCTAGGTACGTTTTTGACGAGTCTTACATATATGTCTGTGGGTAAAGAAAAAGTCACTCATTTCTCCTTCCAATATTATTGTTATAAAATATGAAATCTACCAATATAACTTGTAAGTTATAAACACATTTATTCAATTGATTTAGCTTTTCGCTATTAAGATTTTAATGAATTGTAATCTAACATATCATAATACATCTCTCTCTGTTCCTAGAATATACCAATATTATCCGTGTACTTGGACTTTCACACCCAGTGTACATTAATTATGTTGTCTTTTTTTTTTCTGATGGCATACACCAGTTGTTTTTAAGTTAAATAAAAGCATTTGGTAAAGAATGACATTCTGAGTTAAAACTCAGTCTATATGTTTTGTACATAATGACTAACATTACAGCATATTAAAATCTTAACTGTTTTTATAAAACAATAAACTCGTGTTAATAGGCCTCCATGATACTTTTTTTCACAGATTGAGATATAACTGAGTAAACATTGCAATGTCCTTGTAGCTAATATGTCTGATACTAGTAGTTATGATCTTCATTCTCATCTATATCTTCATGATATTCTCAACAGGCCTGTGAAAGCCACACTAAAGAATAAGAGTATTATTCCCTCTAAAACCTACAAAGAGCTTCCCTCAAATTTTGACGAGCGCCTCCAAGTTTAGTAATGAACATATTAACTAATACCATGTGGAATAATTGGAGTACTTCTACATTTCATGTAGGCTTTAAATCAGAATTAACATTTTGGGGTTTGAACTTGACTATATTATTTTAACATATAATATCACAACATTACACTAAATGTTAAAGCTCCAGCTTTAGACTATGTATTTTGTCAATGCTAAAAATGGCTTCCGTATCTACATATAGTTGTAGCTGAGATATGGGTTGATGCAACTTAAGCCTCTCCTGTGTGGTCAAATTGGTTAATGTATATGCACATGAATGCTTTGTTGAATCTTCTGTTATTAAGCAGACCTGTCCCTTTGTTAACTGAGTTTTACCTGAATATACCACAGTTCCTGCTACTAGCTATGGCTGGGAAGCTGTGCACTTTTCTTAAGGTGCCTTATGAACAGCATCCTTAAAAAAAGTCTTGGCTTTCATCTCTACAAGTCCAAAAATGAGCATTCTTATGAACAGGATTCTCAGTAAAACTCTTGTTAGAAAAAACTCATTATCATCACATTGTGTGTTGACCTTTATTGCTTGATGTCTTTGAACATTGTCAGTAACCCTCACTGGTTTGAAAGGTTCTGCCCCAAGCATTTACTGCATCACAGCAAGGTGCTGGCTGTTCAACCTCATGACACTGAGGTATTTTACTGTAAATTTCATCCACCAATTGCATTTCTTCACTTTCCTTGGCTACAACTGACTAACCAGTTCTATGCAATGTCTGAATTGGTTAACAAATGCTTTGGAGATCAGTAGAGATCACCCTGCTAAATCTCATGGCCTTCAGGTAGCTTAATGCAACCATGACTCATCTTTCCAATCTGATGCTTCTTCACATAGAAAGTAACAAATAGAGGTTGTATAATGACAGCCTGGATTTCTTCTAGCCACCTGTCAATCTCTTTGTTCTGAGGATGGATCAAGAATGTAAGACAAAGCTCTCATCAATGCTACTTAAAGTTCTTTGAAAAGAGTGCTTCTCCTAATCATTACCACAACCTCACCTATCTTCTTTCCACTATATTAGCATAATGTTTAGGGACAACAAGGGACCTATTGGTCCATCTTGGCTGTCCCATCCTCTAAACTAAACTAAAAACTATTAAATAAATGAATGAAAAATAAAATAAAAATATTAAAGCCAGTCCTTATCATTCATATAGTTACCAAGCTTTCTCTTAAACCCATTTAAATTTACTGCCTCCACAACACCCAAAGGCAATCCATTCCAGAGGTCAACCACCCTGTTAGAAAAATAAAATTATCTTAGCTGAAGATGACTCCTACCCTGCCAAAAGTTATATTTATGTCCCCTAGTCCTACTATTCTCACCATTAAATATGAAAAAAGATGATGCATCAACACTATCAATTTCCTTTACAATCTTAAACACCTAAATCAGATCTCCTCTAACTATTCATTTTTCAAGAGTAAACAGTTTGAGAAATCTCAACCTCTCCTCATATAACAACCCCTCTATCCCAGGCACCATTCTAGTAACCCTCCTCTGAACTCTTTTTCAAAAATTCAATGTCCTTCCTAAGGTAAGGAGCCCAAGACTGAATACAATATTCCAAATGTGGCCTAACCAGTGATCTGTACAATGAAATTATAAACTCTTTAGACTTGTATTCAATATTTCTGTAGATACAACCTAAAATACTTTTTGCCCTACCACTAGTAACAGCACACTGCTTGGATGGTTTTAGAGACTGATCGACTATTACACCAAGGTCTCTTTCCTTCATAACACTATTAAGGTTATTCCCATCCAAATTATACTTATAATTCAAATTATGATAACCCACATGTATAATTAAAACCCCTTTACCATTTATTTGCCCAATTCACTAAATGATGTAGATTCTTTTGTAAAGCAGCAGCATCCTCTTCACAGCTAGCAACATCAAATACTTTAATATCATCAGCTAATTTAAGTATTTTATTAACCATTCGTTCATCTATGTCATTGATGTAAATTGAATAGATCAAATGTCCTAAGACTGAGCCCTGAGGTACCCCACTTGTGACATTAATCCAGTTTGACTGAACTTCATTTATAAAAATCCTCTGCTTTCTTCCATCCAGCCACTCTTCTATCAAATTAGCTAACTTATCCCCCACACCTATAGACATAATTTTTTTCAAGCGTTTTGTGTGGCATCATCTCAAATGCTTTCTGAAAATCCAGATACACCCTTACCTTCATCTACCTAAGCAGTAATCTTTTCAAAGAATGTCAAAAGATTTGTAATGCAAGATATTCCCTCAGTGAAACCATGTTGACCATCCAGTAAAATTCTAAACTTTGTTATATGACAAGTATTGATCATGCTTTATGAACAATTCTTCAAGTTCAAAATGTATGAATATTGTCTTATTCTCAGATTACCCTAATTTCCCTCAGAGTAGAATGCAGGATTCACAAAATAACAGGAGGATTTGCTGGTGGATACTATTTCTGTATTTAGTTTGCCTTTGACCGAGTCTTTATAAGAAAGACAACATTTCAAGTTATTGCAAACAATCAAAAGCAAGCTTAATGCTTGGAAAAGTGTACTTTGCTAAAGAGAAAGAAAATAAATTTAAACCTTTAGGCTATGCTCTTTATTAGTATTGTGACTGCAGTGTTTCTATAGTTCTCTGTATTTGGTTATGCTGAAGTGAATCACATCTAATCTTTCTGTGAAAATCTCAAATCTGTTCCAGTCTAGCAATCTCCATTAGTGAATCTTAGTCTAGCAGTCTATATTTAACAAAGAAAAACATAGTTATATATACAAGGCTCTTTCTCTTCAGGCATATATACCATCCATGTGACTAAGGGCCACTTCATATCAGCATAGGGTGCCATACCATTGAAATATCATATGCCTTGTCAGCAAGGCAAGTATTGTTTCTGTCTGTAGCATCTAATGCTACAGTGATATCCACTAATGGAAGATATGTGATGTCTTTGGTAATTCATCCAGTCCCTTGAATAACTAAGGTGAGAGAAACTTATGGTCCCTTTGAATGACTTCTATATTAAGAACAAAACCTGAAATACTCTAAAACTTGAACATAAATTAGATGGCATATTATGTGGCCACTTATCACCACATGATATGACACTTATTCCCACTGCAAAAATCAGTAGACCAGTTGCTACTGGAATTAACTGGTAACCAGTTGCAACAGGAAATTGCATACTGTTCATTAGAGGTTACTTGTTCCATTACCACTACTGGTTTCCACATTTGGCTCTCTACCACATTGCTGTTAGTAGTCTCACAATTCAGCTACAGGCCCCTTTCTACTAATGGCTTCCTAAGTAATTAAGCTACAGGATCCACTGCCACTACTGGCATTCCACAATTCATATAAAAGTTCTGTTAGTACTCCTGGTCTCCCTATTTAGTTACAAGATTCAATACACACAGTAGCTTCACCAAGAAAAGTTCTGTTAGTACACTCCCTATTTAGTTACAGGATTCAATACACACAGTAGCTTCACCAAGAAAAGTTCTGTTAGTACTCCTGGTCTCCCTATTTAGTTACAGGATTCAATACACACAGTAACTTCACCAAGAAAAGTTCTGTTAGTACTCTCCCTATTTAGTTACAGGATTCAATACACACAGTAGCTTCACCAAGAAAAGTTCTGTTAGTACTCTCCCTATTTACTTAGAGGATTCAATACACACAGTAGCTTCACCAAGAAAATGTCTGTTTGTACTCTTGGTCTCCCTATTTAGTTACAGGATTCAATACACACAGTAACTTCACCAAGAAAAGTTCTGTTAGTACTCTTGGTCTCCCTTTTTAATAGCACACACCACAGCTACTCACTAAGATAGTTTCATTGCATCATTTTTATGCTTATAAACAAAGTTTCTTAAACAGCTTACATCACAACTACTCATTAGGGTAGTTTCATTACATCATTTGTGTGCTTATAAACAAAGTTTCCAAAACAGCACACATCACAACTACTCACAAATTTATAAATACACAAATGATGTAATGAAACTATCCTAGTGAGTAGTTGTGATGTGTGCTATTTAGGAAACTTTATTTATAAATACACAAATAATATAATGAAACTACCCTAGTGAGTAGTTGTGATGTGTTCTGTTTTGGAAACTTTGTTTATAAATACACAAATGATGTAATGAAACTATCCTAGTGAGTAGTGTGGTGTGTGCTGTTTTGGAAACTTTGTTTATAAGCACACAAATGATATAATGAAACTACCCTAGTGAGTAGTTGTGATGTGTGCTATTTAGGAAACTTTATTTATAAATACACAAATGATATAATGAAACTACCCTAGTGAGTAGTTGTGATGTGTGCTGTTTTGGAAACTTTGTTTATAAGCACACAAATGATGTAATGAAACTACCCAAAGTTTCCTAAATAGCACACACCACACTACTCACTAGGATAGTTTCATTATATCATTTGTGTATTTATAAATAAAGTTTCCTAAATAGCACACACCACAACTACTCACTAGGATAGTTTCATTACATTACTTGCACTTATATTTTATGCTTATTGTGTTCACAAATTAGATATTGCAAGTGTGTGTGGTATTGGTAAAATTAAATTATGTATAAGAAGATGTATCAGTAGACAACAGTGTACAGACATCTTTTAGAATACATCAAATAAATATGACAGTATAAAAAAAGTAGCTCAAGAAAAAATTTCTTTCATTTTGAGTTGTTGTCCAGTTTCCCTTGTAAAAAAACGTTTTGCTCTATATCCATGCTAAATAAGTTTGTAATTAAAGCTGAGTAACAAATTTTAATGTATTCCTTATTAATGGACTATTTAAATAGCCCTGAAAAAGATTTTTATGTATCAATACGATATTCATGAACAAAATTACATTTCTTTGCTGACAGTTTCTTTAAGAGTCAATGAGGTTTTGATTTCGCATTATTCGTTTGAAATCTGTTGTATAATTTACCTTCAACACTCCTTTCATTAGAATATTACTTCCCCATACACAGTTGTAGTATACTGTTATTATTCATGTTACAGGGATTCAACCTGGCTTAATTAACTCTGTTTGTTTGCTTTTATTAAACATAGACAGGTTTTGGTAAGTGTTAATATGCTTAATGTTGCAATACCATAGGAAGCTCTTTTTGAGTGACCAGGCCATTGCCACATCTAAACAATGTGACACATGTGGTGTATGCAAAACACACTACCAGCGGGCTATAACTTATATATCAAACTTGGTTCTTTTAATTCAATGCATTATGTTGTGTGTATGCAGTATTTGTAGTTAAAATGGCTCAAGATTCAACCTCATAGCATTACATTTTCAAAAATTTTCTGGGGTGCACATCCCCAGACCCCCTAGAAATGGCATACTTTGCATTATTTGAACAAACTGTGTTTTTGGATTGGTCTTGGAGGAGACCATACTGTGATGTATGATAGACTACTACTACACAGGGCCATAGGAAGCGGTACGGCCAGTCATGCCACTGGTATATCCGGTTAACTTGCTATACTTCAGTTGAAAGAACAATAATATTTTATCATTAGATCTTCTGTGGGTTCAGGAATGAATACTTCTTAAAATTAAAAATACACATAATTGAAATATGCATAGTGTATGTTCATTGTATTGATGCATGTTTATGAACATAGATAATATAAGTCACTCACAGTATCACCTTAGCAATTCAGGAAAAATCTGATGTGTGATAATAGACTCTCTAATAGTGTTGGTGAAGATCAAGATTCTACCTTGAGAAGCTCATCAACTCAGTCATCCCAACCAAGTCATGATAAGAATATTTTAGAAAGCCAAAAGCAACTTCAAAAAAGTGAACAGGTATGATTTTAGATTATGCTAGCGACCTGAGTGTCACACCTTTATATACTAATATTTATGGATGAGAAACATTTAAATTATAAAATAAGATGTAATGAATTTTATATAGTAATATGCTATCTTTGATATGAACTTGATGTGAGTTATTTGAAGTTTAGTGATTACTGAAGAGATTCTGTACCATTGAAAGACCACAAATGTTGTACCTCTATTTAAGAAGAGGCTAAAGAAAATATCATTGAAATTGTTAGTTTGAGTCATGTTAGTAAGATTATGAAATCTTTGCATTGTGAGCTTGGAAATATATATGAAGACATGGCATTTAGCCATAAATAGTGATCATAGTTTTAAGAGTTATTTTTATAGTTATTTGATAATGTTTTTGCTGTAAATGAAAGAAATACTGTGATAGTCTCAGTTGCACAGATTTTTTATGGTAAGAGTAATTTCTGAGAGATTTGTCAGTAAAATATACATAGAAGCCAAACTTAATTCTAACCTGATTGGATTGAGGAATGAAACTTGACATAAGTTTAACAGTAAAACAAAAACAGATTATTCAATTCAGTCCCACCTACACACAAAGATGAGAGACAACTGTACTTTCTGATATTGGGAAGATGTATGCCAGGAGAATTTCTGTATGGATAAAGTTGAGAGAATTAGCCACTATATATTTATTCAGTAGGGCCAAATCTCTCAGAATTCTTATGTCATCCTTCTTACCTGATCATCCCATTTGCAAGTATTGGGAAGACAGAGCTTCAAGGATTGCTAAACCTTTTACATGACCAATGCTACTAGAGAAACATTAGTACAAATTTAAGGAATTATTCTGTGGAAAAAATCAAGAAACACCAAAGTGGGACTGAATGAATAATGTCAATATACACCTAGCACAAGGATAAGGATAATGTATTCCAAAACCAGATGTCTGCACACCATACATTCAACATGTACCAAATGTGTGTAAGTGCAAAAAATTTTGAAAATTTCCATTTTTGTGAGCTAAAAGTTAAAACACACAACATATGGTATGTTTCACATATCACAAAACAAATAATTAAAGAAGAATGAAGAACAAGCTCACAATTTGAGTAAAAAAAACAGGGTAAGCTGAGTTCCGACATGGTACATTACCTCCACTCACATAAATAACAAGCCTTCTACCTCCCCTTCATAGGAATCGACTGATTCCAATGCATCTCTCATGTGAATCATCGTGTGTCAACCCTCCACCAATAAGAGTGTGACATACTCTCATGATGCATGTGGCTCCTTCTATTCAATTCTACCAAACTATCACTTCTCATTTTGTCTTTTGGTGCTCTTTGCATGAATCGTGATTTTAATAGTTTAATTTCAGAAGTGGTACATTCATGATGTTAGAAAAACATGTAGGTTTAAGAAGTCTTGATAGAAAAGAATAAAAACCCTATAACCTGAGCATCCACCTTTCAAAAGCACTCTGGTTATAGGTTTTTTATCCATTTCAGAAGTGGGATTTCTTCATTATTATTATTTCTCATTACATTGAAGAAATCTTTACCATTCTTTTTTTTTCTCACACTCGCATATTTCACATCAAATACTTTTGTTTGACTTATGTATTTCTACGATGAATTCTGAGGTTCATTTTCCCACTTCAGGTGTTCTACTTCTAGCACTATTTTCACAGGCTGCAGGTGGGGGAGGCCTGTCATTATATGGGTCAACCTTCTTCTCCTGAACTTGCCCTACTAATCCTCCTGAAAAAGTTGAACCTGTTTAGGCTGATGAAGACTTGATAGCTTTTTTACACCACCAGATTTTTCCATATTTTTCCCTACCCATCCTGCAGAACCAGTTAGGCCTAGTACAGCATTTTTTGACATGATTTCTCAGATATATTATGTTTTATTCGATGCCCCATTTTTCTCTTATTCCTTTTTACCTCAATGTTGGCTCATTTGTTGTCCTTGGCTCTTGCTTTACACATGTGGTTTCACTGTAGTTGGGATTTTCTGGATGGCAATGAGAACTTGTCCCGGGTACGTTTGCTGTCTCTTTCTTTTCAGGGTTTCTGTAAATTTTTTTGGTGATATGTTTTCTGAGACTCTGGAATGTCATGTGTAATCTGTGTATCAACAGTCGACCCTTCCTCTTTGGTTGCATGTTTGTCACAGTTGGAGCCAAGACACACATCTATCTCTTTCCTGTCTTCTCCTCCTCAACTTCGTTTGATGGGCTTTCAGTTCAATTACAGCTCACAAGGTTCTTTAATTTTTGGGGGTGTGATCTTCCATGGTAGTCCTTATCTCCTTGGGTTAGCTGCATATGCGGGCTCTTTTGTGGGCTTTTCATAACCATTGAATTTTACAGGGATCCCTTGTCGACTCTTATTACCCTTTCTCCTAACCTTGTGGTCGATTGGCGTTGGTGTTTAGATATCATTCACACATCGGTGATTGTCCCACTTCCTCCTCCTCATCTGGTTTTCCACATTTCATGGACACATCCCTTCAGGGAGGTGGACGGGGGGTTGATAAATTGGAAGATTCTGGGCTTTTGGTCTGCAGGCAAGAGGTCTTATCTTATCAATGTCTTGGAGCTTCTCGCTGTAGATCATGTTTTGGTTTATTTTCTTCATCTGGCTAGAAATTGTCTGGTAATGATCCATTCCAACTTTTCTTCAGTGGTTGCTTATCTCAATCACCAGGGCCACAGAGGGATGGAGAACAGGTGCTTTCATATGTTGGCCCACACACTAGATATTCCTATCATTGCATGTCATGTTCCTGGTGCTTTTGCTCTTGTTGTGGATCAGATTCTTGTCCAGACAACATTTATCTGACAGAGTAGTCTCTCGATCGTTTTGTTTTTTAGTGGCTTTAACTTCAGTGGGGTACTCCTCACACTGAGGCGTTTGCTGCTTCCCTTAACCACAAATTGCCTTAGTTTTGGTCTCTGGTTTCTCATCTTCGTGCTCTGGCTATCTATTTTTCAGCCAGTATTGGACCTACACATTTGTCTATCCTCCCATTCTCCTTCTTCTCTGGGTGATTTCATTCATCCTTAACACTCTGTGTTCAGTTCTTCTGATATGTCTTTCCTGGCCATCTCAGCTGTGGTTTCCACAACTTCTCCAACTTCCTCCTCTGTTACCTTTTCCTTTATCTTCATCCCTTCTTCTCCACCCTCAGTTACATGTGTTTCATCCAGACCTTCATGTCCCCCATCTTCACTTCTGGTGTTCCTCTAGTTATTGGTGAGGTGATCTGGCTTTTTCCCAGTGGTTAGCCTCTTTTTTGGCTTGTTTCATTCGCCCTTCCTACATGAAAGTTTCTCAATTCAAATGGAATTTTGCCGTCTTTTTTTCTAGGTCCAGGGTTTTTCCCCTGATCAACCCATTGTTCTTATTCATGCGGATTTCCTCACTTGACTTTTGGATTGGGGTCATCTCAGTCTCGGATTTTTTGAGTGGTCTTGTCCCACACCTTTTGTCTTTTTCAATCTTGCAGGTATTTACCTCTTCTACACTTTACCTGTGGATGTGTTCCTTCCAGATTTGTCTTTCGCCATGGCGGGCTGCCCTTTCAGATGTGGATATTAATGTGGTCCTGCACTGCCTCACTTTGCTTATGTTCGAACCACTCTTCCAATGAGCCTGCGGATTGCTATCAATGTTTCACATACTCTACATATCTTCTCCTTTCTCCAGATTGTTTTTCCTCCCTAAAACTAGTAGCTCGTGGGGATAACTCCTCCATTTAGCTGATTTCCCTTCCTTCCGTTTCACGCCTTTATCCTCGTCCTAAACCAGATAGACCTCTATATCCTGTACGTGCTCTACTCTGTTATATTGCCTTCACAGCTTCCTTCTGTGGTGTCTGTTCCTGCCTCTTTCTTCCTTGGCAACTGTCCTTTCTTCATGTTCTTTCTCCTTCCTCCTTTGCCAATTGGGTTCAGCTCTTCATTCAATTGACTTCTTCCTCTTTATCATCTTCCTCCCATACTTTGTTCTGAGTGCCTTCTCAACCAATTTGACATCTTACCTTCTCATTGACATTTCATCCTTGTCGTCCTTTGGAGGTACTTCTTCAATTTGGCTTGTGGACTATTCATGATATATTTTTCTTAATATTTGCATTGGATTGCAGTTTTCTTCCTCCTTGAGTTATCATCTTCCACATGTAGCCATTCTAGAATATCAGAATTCAGTGAGGCTTTAACTGGGTAAGTTATTTTTTTCTTTCATTTTTTCCTTTCCAGGGTCTCTTTTCCCTTTTTTAATGCTCAATGTTTGGATCTTGCTCTGTTGCGAGTTGTGCCTGACCATGTATTCTTTCACTATTCCAATCTGCATTGTTTAGCCATGATGACCAGCATATTATAATTCCATGGCCACGCACTGCACACTGCAGTGATGGGGTGTTCCACAAGATTGCTTGAAGGTTTATCCTCACAATAGAATTGCTTCATAAGTTTGCTTGTTCTGAACCGTACCCATCCATGGACTACATGGGAAAAGCAAAAGGAGATAGCTTTTCATCCCTGCCATACCTTGTATTGTATAAATCGGTATGGTCAGGTGTTGTTGTTCCTCTGGACTCTCCACAGCATTTTACCCCCTTTTTCTTCAACTGAAGTTTGAGAGTCCTTATCACTTTCCAGTTCCAAGCCATTTGGTGGGGGATTGTGGAGGCATCCTTCTGAATGGATAAATATTTTGCATTGTTAATTTGGATTTATGGAAAAACTACTAAGTCTATTTGCCACCATCCCTAATGTTGGACTATTGATCAGAGTTCCAGAAGGTAGCAGACAGCAGGACTATAACACCCGTTTTCAGCATTAAGGGATTGACTATTAGTCTTTTAACTTATCCACAGCTTAAAGTTCAAGGAATATTTTGTAGTATCTCACAATTTTGAATCTGGCTCACCACCTCCAAAATCCAGATTATTCCAGTGCCTACTTACTATAGCGTGAATCCCCTAATTTGGCTGAATCTTATGATC